CATTAATACTACATACAGAACCCTATAAAAGTAGTGATAATTAAACAATATCAAAAACTAAAATACTATTTTTGACTTGCCAAATTTTTAAACCTATTTTATTTTCACTTTCATAATTTTATCTTCATCTGCTTGTAGTTTTAACTGTCTTGAGTGTTCATAGAAATTGTTTTTACCAGCTTGTAGCCAAGATTCTGATGTTTCTGTAGACACCAAACATGTCTATGTTTAACTAAATGAACTTAGTGCAATTAAAGTAGAAAACCAGGGGTTTGGGCTTAAGGGATGATAAACCAATTGGCGGGCCGAACTTTGGTCACTCGCAGGCTGGATGTGGCCCGCGGGCCGACAGTTGAATAGCCCTGGCTTACACAGTTATGTGACTGACACTTATCACTAAGACATCAGCACTGACTCRGTATTAATAACGCTAATGGTTCATGTTTTATTCATGGGTACAAGAAAAGTACCCTGTAGGTCCTGTTTTCMCTGCACCGGAGCCTCATAATCGACACCATCACCCCATCAATTCGCTCTAGAAGGCCGTGTGATGCTTCTCAGGCTGCTTCCTACCGAACCGACCGAACCACACGGATGGGCACGATTACAATCAGTATTTGTCAGAGTGGAAAACCCTCCTGTGAGTCGGAGCCAGTTGGACTGCACAGACGGCATGCTGTCAATTAATAACTCTCACTGGTGGTTAGCAGGTCTCTAAGGAACCGGCAGCCAGGCAGGCTTGCACATTCCAAGAAACAGAAAGGTCAATGAAAAGATCCGAAGCCATACATCAGCAACGGACGGCTCCAGGAGCGTGGTTTAACCTTTTTTTTGTGTGTGTTGTCTGAATGTAAAGTAAAACTTCTGCTCAGGTCACACATCTGGATCTGAGTGAGGTGATCGAAACATCCCAGCGGGATCTTTCTTCGGGGCGAGCTCAGTCCGATTTGTGGGGCGTGACCCGCTCCGATGGCTCTCATGTGAATCAGARATGAGCTGTATTCATGCCTTCATTCAGGCCCTCGTTTTTTTCCATGAGAGGATCCGCTGTGGTTCAATTTAATTTCACAGTCATCTGTTTCCTTTTTCCCAACACACACACACACACACACACACACTGCACCGTTAAGCTGTTTGCCAAGTGCAGGTGGCTGGATCTCAGCGCAGAAGGAGCCGGCGGTGTTTGGATGCGACTTGAGACCGAAGACGGGGAAGAGAGGAGTGCATGAAATGAATGAAAYGAHAATATAATTATCTCCGCATTCTTCTTCAGGCCATACCAGAGAACCCATGCGTCTTTGTGCTGGGATCCCTCTTTCYGTGGTGCTGAATCTACATCACTTTGTAATTTTGAAAAGATAAAACGCGATCAATAGGGGGTGCTAGAATAGAGCAAATGGCTGATGGCTTCATGGGAATGTATTTGTGACACAGACTAGTTGGCAAATCAAAAATGATGAAATGAAATGACAGAAAATTCACTAAAATTAGTTTTTATAGTAGCTAAAACAGCATGAAATACTACTTCTGAGAATCCTCTTCTGCTGTACATTTATTTATTCATTACTTTCTCCATCCTCCATGTTTCGTTGTCTTCAGTCCCTCTCGTGTTTGCTGCTGTCCTCCACATCTTTCCAGCCCATTCCTCTTGCACCGTGCAGGGAAAAACACTCCTTGAGGGGCCGTGTGAGCCTTAATGTCAGCCTCGATGACAGCTTCGTGCTGCTTAGGGAGACGAGCAGTCGACCAGCGGGCATTACTTTGAGTCACTGACAAACAGGGACAAACACAGTTTCTCTCTTGAAGCTAAAAAAATATATACTTTTTTTTGTCTCGTAATTTCAAATTTCAAGCTGAACTAAGATGTTGCTCCCTTTCCGTCCCATTTGCACTGCAGGTTTTTTCTGATTAATTCTCCTTGATTTTTTTTGTCTTTCTCCTCCAAAAACCTCGATATTAAAAGTGGCTCAGTTCAGTATTGTTGGACACATTCTCCTACGCTGGTGCTGTCCCTCTGCACTAAAGCATCTGTTTGAATAGATCCCTGCAACCCATCTGGTGGACACAGATAATGTCCTTTTGGTACTAATGAGAAGTGGCACTGTGCAGAAACAATGACATAGARAAACCATAAGAAGATTGTTAAATTAAGGTTTGACAGACTGGTACATTTTGCAAAGTATGATTAATTCTTTGTTTTTTTTATTTTTATTGATACTGATCAGCAGAAATTGAAGCGACAGTCTTTGAGTATAATTATGTCAGAACCACAAATTAAATGTTTCCTGCTTGATCTGAGTGTGATTGGATTCTGAGGTTCAGGTGGAAGCTAGATGTATATTTCTGTCCAAAACTACCTGTGGATTAGGATGAAACTGTCACTTTTCCTAAACCCACATAACATTTATGCACTTTTTTTTGAATAAACAGTGAAAATAAAATGGAAAGCTTAAAGATAAGTTGGATGTGTTTGGTTAAAAAGAAAGAAAGATGGTGGATAAGAGCACATTTTTTTAAGGAAAATAACAGGCATAGGGCTTCAAATGAACGAATACCAACAAAAATATCCTGGTTATTTRAAGTAAAAGATTATCCAGATGATAAATGATCCAAAAATAATTTTAGGCTTGTTTTAGAACAGGATTAGGGACCCATCGGTCAGTCTGAAGGACCCCAGTGATTCAGCATTGAACTCTCACTCCTGAGGGGCTTGAAAGCAAAGGCCAGAACAGTCTGCAGTAATTAATGTACCGTCAGCTTATTTGTTCTCCTTGTTTCAAGGACGTTTCCGTAAGAAGCTGGTAATCCGGAATTATTTCAGTGTCCCTCGGCTGGAGGACTATTCAACTATTTCCTTCCCTTTTCAGCTCTTTTTTTCATCCAGGTTTTGGCTCACGGTCTCTGTGATTCACAGGGTCGGCTGTAATACCGGCTGTAATCACCCCCCTTTTAAAGGTTTTTAATGATTGATCGGTGGCATCCAGGGAAAGCTGTTATGGAGAGTTGGAAGGCTGTGGGCAATGTGTTTTTTTCTTTTTCTTTTCTTTTCTGGCACACTGAGTTTTGTCAAAATCTGTTGCAGTTTCTAACTGAATGTTACATTGTTGATGTTTTTTTAGCAGT